ATGTAAAAAATATTATTAAAATAATGAAATAAATTCAAATATTATGTTAGATAAATTGTTTATAGATATAAAAACCCTATTTTTGATATTGTCGAACATTTTTTGCTTTTCGATGTTTTATCATTATATTTTTTATTATGAATTCATTTTCAGTAATATAGAATGTAATATAATTAACGTGATACCCGTACTTATAAATATATATATTTGCATAGCATAATTTCATAGTATAATATACCATACGAATAATAATAATGTGGATGAAAAAAATTATAATTATTAGTTATAAATTGAGGAAACTAAACTTCAGCTAAATATAAATTAAAACATTATATATAGAAAATAGAAAAATGAAATTTTTTAATGTGAATTTTCCTCAATTTTTGTTTCCATTTTCTTTTATAAGGATACATTTCTCTAAAATATTTTTAAGAAAAATATATAAAATTTTCCTTATTATATTTTCCATTTAAAAAAAAAAAATAGTATTATTATTTGTTCATAAATTAATGCTAAAAGTTATAAGGGCATTATTATTATAACAAAGCATTATTGCGCCAAATCTAAAGCCCAAACTATTTCCTTTCCAATTAATATTTTTAAACTACAATTATTAAAAAAAAGCATATAAAATGACATCATATTCCGAGCTAAGATATTCTTTAAGGAAAAATAGAATCTTATATTTTTTCCTTATATATTCAGTATGCTTAACACATGAATGTAAATCCAAAAAAATTTATTCTTTTTTTTGTTCTATACAAAGGGTTGTCTATTAAATTCTTTTACAATATACTTTTTTTTTTTTTTTTTCTTATGTAATTCTGAATAAATTAAAAGTACAAAAAGATGTATATGCTAATATTATCATTTCTATTATATTGATTTAATATAAATTTAAGCATACCTCAGAATTGCGTAAAAATTATATGTTAAATGCTATTAAAATTGGTATATTGGGGGAATTTCTTAAAATTCACGTGTATGAAAATATTACAAGATCATGAAAAATTATATAAGGATACAATAATGATTCTTAAACAGTTATATCTGTTATGAAAATATATGTACTCTTATATAACGAATATATATAAATTACAAAATAGGTGGTGTTAGGAGGAATTATTATTATAAAACTAATTAATTCCATGAAATATCAATTTTCTGTTGTGTAATATAAAAAAAGTATATTAAATGAATGTACCTATAATAGTTCATAACATATTTAATGGTAATAATAATAAATTTTGCACATATATCGAATATTACTCATGATTTATGATGAGAACTTTAAGCATTACTAATGGCATGTAAATATATTAATATAAAAAAATTATATTATGAGAATATTTGGCGATGAAAATTCTGGGTATACTATAATATAAGATATTTCATAGAGAACAAAAATACATATATGATATATTTTACAATAAGGTTATATTCATTGAATGATAATATTGTGTTCCTACAATAAATATAATAATGTAGCTTAATAAACGAATAATAAGGTCGCTATAGGTAATATTATAGAATAGCAATGCATTCACACAAAGTAAATAGAGAACAATAAACCCTGAACCCTAAACCATAAAACCCTGAAACTTTAAACCCCGTTTTAAACTACAATTATGAATTCAATTTTATTCTATTATATATATATTTGTGTATAATATGATAATGATAAAATTACATATATGTAACAAAATATGTATGTGTTTTCATTAATAATATATTCAAAGATAAATTTTTTTTCATTTATATTATTATATACAACAATAGTGTTACAATATATATTATTCTATTTTATTGTATCATATTAAATAATTTTATATTCATTTTTTTTATAAATATATATCACTTTAATTTTTTCACAGTTGCCATCACAAGAAAGTAAAAATATATTTATATACAAATTTATTATAATATTTCAGTTAATGAAATAGTTATCTTGTATATTTATTGCATATAGTAACAATATATTTATTTTTCTTATATATCAATCCTGCGTAAAATGATTAAATGAGCATTAAATTAATAATACAATATTTTATCATTTATTATATAGTTGTAAAAAAGTTAATTTATCCACATATTATGTATATGCTTTTGTTTTTTAAATGGCAAATAATATTTAAATATATACTGAATCAATCATTTTATTATAGTATAAAAATATGTATTGTCTGTAATAAAGTGTAATTATATTCATGCGTATATATTTAAATATATAGGAAATCTGTATCTTGGGATTGTTCAAAAAAAAAAAAATTTGTATGCATAATATTTATCATTATGAAGAAAATTTACGTATTTTTCAAATATAAAATTATGAATTAGATTGTTTATAATATGATTCCTAACTAAATAGCAATAAAGAATTCTCTTAGTTCTGTTCTCTTCTTATAATCCATTTACATTAATTTGTTCTCCACAATTATATTACTCTATAAATTCAGCCTAAACATAATACTTAAATTTTTATGATTTAAATTTTAATAGAAAACATACATTCATGTTAAAATGTACGAAATTGCATTATAGTTTAGTGATATATAAAACTTATTACAGTTATAGCTTTTGTAATATAGGTGATTTATAAAATTGGAAAAATTTTAATCTTTTAATTCGTTTTCTTTATTCATGTTGTAAATAATATACACATAAATAATATATACCAATGACATAAAATACTCATATTCTATATCATAAAAATATTTACTTAAGCACAATATAATTATGGAAATATACATAATAAAATGTCTCTTGTTTCCTAGATCTTACGATGAATACATGTGTGATAATTAATGTTTAAATTATTGATTTATAGAAATAAGTGTACTTAGTGGAACTTAATTTCATTTAATATTTAACTGGGCCTATATAAATTCACTCATAATCTTTACATTTAATGTACGTTTTTAATACAGATATATGTTTATTATGCTGTATAATAGGGTCATTGTAATTACCTATCATTATATTTCTAAAAATATATCTTATATTTATTCTTATTTCTACTTAAATGTAGTGTTCTTTTTGGAAAAAAAATATATTTATATACATCAACAATAAGCTAGATATAATAATTACTGTATGTATAAAAATATATATAATATATTTTATTATTATATTCCTTTTAATTGATTAGAATATAGAAATCATATACTAAATCGTTTATTTTTTTATTAAATTATTTTATTTATCCTTTTTAGAAATAGTATACACGCCTAATTATAAGGAAGGAAAGTAAAGTAGAAAAATTCAGGTATAAAAATTAAAAATTAATTTTATCATTTTTTTAGGAATATAAATGTAATTAAAAATCAAATAAGTTACAAATAAATTATGATTCACATATAAGAAATTTTTTTACAATATAAAATAATACTAAGTATATATTAAAGGAAATATATTTATAAATGAAATATAATATATTACACTTTAATCAATATTAAATTAAAATAATAATATATAAAAATATATCCAAATACATAAATTAACAACTTTTATGCTTTTTTAATATGCTGTTGAGTTTTTAGAATGTGATTATTATATTAATATACACAAAAAACTAATTCTTCTTATTATAATTAAGCGAATTTAACATATATTATAGTTTATATTACAATATATATATTAGAATACAATATTAAGTAGTTCATATAGCATAATATATTATATAAAAATGAAAAAATATTCATTATAAAATATAAAGTTAAACATTAATAAATGTAATTTGAATAAAATAAAAAAAATTATTTTATTATATATATAAAAATATAGTTATATTATAATGTATGTTTCTTTTTTTTTAATTATACTATGATATACACTATATATATATGTAATGTAAGAACGAATACAAAAATATAATAATATCTCTATTGTAAGTAATAGGATATAATTAATTTCATTTCTATATGTTTCTATTATATGATATTATAATAAAAAAATTAATACATTTTTATATTACAGTAGCAAATATAATGTTATAATATATATAAAATACAATGAAGAAATATATAATAACATGTATATTGATGTATTTGAAAAGCGATTATATAAATTTATCAGGTGTGCCCATAGAATAAGCATTAAATCATCAGCCATACATCTATAAAAAAAAATATTTAATCAAATTCCTGAATCTGATCACCATCTGATAAATATATATCTAAAACTTAAAATATTAAACTTAAAAACATATAATATTTACAGAATCCCTAAAAGAATAAAACATTGGAAAAAATAACAATATATTTAGATACAATAATAAAATGTTTCAGTTTATTTAATGTATTTTTAGGAACACATTTGCAATTTCCTTTGACATTTTTCGAGTTATTTATTTTTCGCACATAATTTAAAATTAACATATGTTAAAATTGTTTAAAAA